CCTAATTTTGGGAAACACCCATTTCCATTCTTGAATGCCTCTGGGGCCTGTGCCGGCTTCTCCTCGGGGCTCGCTGAGCAGCCAGTCTTCCAGCGGGCTCATGGCCACCTCCGTGCTTCGAGTTTCATGGGCAATGTTATATATATATATATATGTGTGGTTATAAGTTCCCTAAGTTTTCTTGACACATATACTGATCCTACTGATAACCCCAATTGTAGCCCCTGTGAACCTTCAAGTATGCTCAGCTGGGGTTGGGGGAAAGGGGTATATGGGCGGGTGCAGGGATTGTAGGGGATTGTGCGCGGAGTACTATTGGGATTGGTTCTCCAACCTCCAACCAGCCATGTGAGCAAGATAAAGCCGCTTTGAGCGTAAGCTCGGGGAGACAAATATGCGACATTGTTGCAGCAAAGCAGTGGCACATCAACTTCTAGCCCAGAAAGAGGACTAACAATTACCGGGTCCTTTTTGTAGTGGTATGTAGTCGTAAGAAGGCCGCGCATGGAACGTGGCGAATGCCTTGCTTGATAAGCTTGACATCTGCCATGTGAACAATCACGGCACTGTCGCTCGTGTAGAACAAGGAAATCTCTAGAGCCGGGGACTGTATGAACTACATCGTGTGTGCCTGCAAGTAGCAGGCTGAGAGGATTTTCATGTTGGTCTGCTTCCACTTGCCTTAAGAGCAGCCGATCACACAAAAACTTGTGAGCCTCTGGGAATTGCTGCATCAGACAACACATCCTGCAACATCTCGGGGGCACTCTGGCCTACAGGGAGAGCCGCGTCTTAGCTCCAATGAAACATTGCAGCCAAAGGGCGCGGAAGATGCCGCACTTGCCTTGAATTCAAGGAACTCCAAGGACACAGCAAAAAGGGACTGCTAAGGCTTGTTCAGAATGCAGGTTCAGAGCCGAGAGTGTGTGTTGGCTGGAAGAGAAGCAAGGTAGGCTGTGGCTCGTGGAGCGCAGCAATCCCCGAACAAGCCCAACCTGCGAAATTCATCATGCACGCCTGGGCAAGCCTCTTACGTCTACTTTCAAACCCTCAGCTGAGCGACTTCTTCATCAGCTTCAGGATGAGTCGATGCACTGGAGAGCCGACCGACTTGTGCAGTCCTGACTTTGCTTGTCTGTGACATCTCCCCGATATCATGCTTGCAGTGGCTTGCAGAGATCTGCAGTCTTAAAGTCTGAGCCCTGCGGCTCCCTAACCTCAACACGAACCCTGGAGATGGAACTTCACGATGTGTGTACCTTGAACAGCAACTTTGGAGCTCTGGGACTGCCGCGTTTGAGTATGAAGGAGGCCCTGTACTGAACCAGGTATTTCCTGACCCGGTCAGGGCCTCAGCTGGCCATGCCCCAAATTTCTGCAAACATGCAGGTCATCATCAAACCAACCCTGGCACTCTCTCGGCTAGCGAGGCAGCCTGGCTCGCAAAATATCGGGGTTACATAAGGATAATGGAAAAGAACATGGAAACCATTCAGGATTAAGAGGATTATATACGGGTTATATAGGGATTATATAGGACCACCCTGTAAGCATGCACACAGAGAAATGCAATGGCAGTTGCACAATATCAGCCCGCGGCATGTCTTACACAGCATGTGCAGCAGCTCCAGAAGCCGCGCATTGCCACACTCCTATATAGCAATAATATACTATGACATACTGTATACTACTATAATCCCTGTAGTTTCCATTTTCTTTTGCATTCTCCCTATATACCCCTATACTATACCCCTATATTATAACCTGTCCAGGGATGGGCTTCAGGAAGGAGCTGGGGTTTCGTCAACATTGGTCCGCAAGGTTTCACATGACATAGCTGCGAGTTCTTACTCACTTTGGGAAGACCGAAATGGACGCATCCTGACATGAATGCTCTCACACGCCCTTGGCCTCGCGATACTTCGAGGATAAAGGGAAGTGCGCACCTGACTGCTTCTGTAATTTGTTTCCAGCATCCTCTGTGAAAGAAAATGGCATCTACTTTAACTTCACTGCTTGCCTAACATCCCTCTACCGCCCCATGGAAACCACACCAACTCAGAGCTCCGAGGCTTGCTCAGCAAAACCTGGACCTGCGAAGACACCCAGACTGTCAACACTGTCAAGTTTCTGAGCTCCCTACTTCCCATTGCCGGCCTCAAGCACGGCAACACCTTGGTTGGCGACTTGGCCAACTTTGCCACCCTCACGCACTGCCCACTCCTGTGTCCGCCGACAAGGTCTTTCCTACTTTAATTATGTTCTTTCTTATCTGCTGGTGCAGCCCCGGGCCTAGCTGATGGATTCAAGTCTACTGAAGCTGGGCTCATGGCTGGCGTGCTTGGGGCAGCTTCAGGCGGGGGATCCTGCGGCTTGGGGCGGAAGAAAAGATGGTGCTACCGGAACCACGCTGCTTTCTCGCTACAGAGCAATACGTACATCAATTATGTTGGAGCTTCATGCCGGAACATGGCTGGAATACACTTGGCCATGCACATCTCTCGCGTCCGTGTTCAGGACCTTCAGAACGACAATAGCGCCTGCCCAAGCTGTCCAGGCGGCATGCGGCTTTGAAGACTGCCACTGGTCGGACTCTGGAACGCTTAGCTTTGTGCCGTTAAGTCCAGCGCCATGTTGGTCAGCCAGGACTTGTGTCAGAAAGGCATAGTCCTCACAGCTGAGGCATACATTGCCCAGCGCGCTGTCTGCCGAGGCTACTGAGTATGCTTTCGGCGGCATTTGCGCTAGACTCCCCAACGCTGCTGACAATGACCTTTCCCAAACTGCTCGCATCGTACCACTGAGGCTGTACCTACTTGCTCATCATCGTCGTCATCGTCATCATCATCATCATCGATGCCGTTCACAGTGCTATGATTCGTTTACTGGCACTCCTGGCCTCCTACAAGGGCAGTGGTCTAACGGTCCAACCTGCTGCTACTTCGACTATGAAGGACTCTGAAGACAACCATGATGGCCACGACTCCCACCGCCACCATTAACACCACCACAAGAACTACGACTAGGGCAAATGCGGCGACGACGACTAGCCGACTAGCCCATCACTGAAGCACTAATTGGAACGACATAATTTTACTGTCGTCGCAACGACCAGCTACGACTATGCTTATCATGACCCGCCGTGGTGGTATAATTGCTCGTGTTGCTATCTCTGTTGCTATTAAGTGTTCTGCCATTACAAAGAGTATTGATTCCAAACACCTACCCCAAGCAGGCAAAGCTCCTCTGCGTCGTACTGCTTGGCTGCTTTGACCAGCAGCAACAGAATACCTGGAAGAAGCAGCAACGGCAACGGTAGTGGTAGCGGCATTGGGCGCCAAACTATGCAACCAAGCAAGAGCCACGGTGGGCTGACCGAAAAGGTCTGAGGTATGCGACAATCGCGCAAAGGGCAGGGGACCATGGGAAAGTGCAGCAACAGAAAGCCCAGAAGAAGCTAAGCTTTTTGCATCCCCAAGACCATACAAAACATATGCGTAACAATGACTGCAACGAGCTGGAGTGGAATCCAAAGATTGCCGTGAAAACATGCGTATGCGAAACCATCAAGTTTCCGGTTAAAACTCCAAAGTCTTTTTTTGCGAGAATTGCGCGTTGATGTTGCAGTTTTCCGTGCGTCTACATCCTAGTGGGCACTGGGCATCACCGGGCGTGGGCTAGATGCGCAGTGTTGGAGCAACCCACAAGATCACACCAACATGCTAATAAGGGCTAATGACACTTCACGTTGCGCGTGAACAGCCTCGCCCAAGAAACACAAGCTTCCGCTATGCGCATTACGACTAGGCCCTGTAAACTCCCAAGAGCCAGAAAGAATGAGCAGCCTCCAGCACCACAAGCAAGCAGCTGTCGATGCCGGAGGTCCTCACACTTTGAGGATCAAGATTCAACAGCTGCAAGCTCTAGGCTGGAATATCTCTGAGAGCGATCCAGTAATTTTGCCTGCGACATCCCAGGCCTCCAACATCCCCCAACCATACTTAGAGCAAAGGGTGACGGGGTGACAGGTTTCAACAATGATCTTCTGAGCTGGTTACTGGGAACTGCGATTGCAAGCCAGCCCAAGCAACTGGGTCTACCTTCTTGTTTGGGATGGGAAGTCCGCATGACTCCGCCATTATGCATTCAGGCAGATCCTGGGCCAACAAGTGTGTTTGATGATTCAGGCCTCCACGGGGTCCAGCATGTCCAGCTCGCCAGAGAGAGCCAAGCCCTCAGCCAGGGATGAGCAGCAGGGACTGCAGTACCATGGAACTTGGTAGGCTGCAGGTCGTGTGTGCATGTTGCACTTCAGATGGAGCGCCTCGTGCATGTCAGCAGCACGCCGCTCCCGCCACAGGTCAAGGATGTCAGCGGTGTTGATGACATCAGCGCAGGTACCTGAAGTAGCTTGTGGCAGCTACTTCTACTGGCATCCGGCTGCCCAGTCAAAAGCACCAGAGTGCTCTTAGGTTCAGGCTAGAGTTCAGCACCAACCGCATGAGCATCACCATGATCTCTCCCAGTGATGGCAGCAGAGTGAGGAACAGCCTGCCCAAGCGAAGCAGAAGCAAGAAGGCATGGTTGTTTTCACGTGGGCTGGCGGTTGGATTGAGCTCGCGTGTGTTGGCAATATGAGTACTAGGATCACTAGCACCTTGGCGAATTCATGAAGCAAAGACTGAATCAAAAACCTCGCTTCCATGCCTTTGCCACACCGCAGGGAAGGAACGATTTGCCGGTGAGAGCATTCCCTGCGCTTGACCTGCCAGAGGTGTCAGTGGAGTACGGCCTAGGACGAATCCTTCACGTGCCTTGAGGTGACCCCGCGCAGGAAGTTGCCTGCAGCCAACGAGTCTGGCAAGTTAGATGCCGTCTTTCGTCAGTTCTCTAAGGAGTGAACGGTTTCGTTGCAACTTTTGAGCTCAGGTCAGAACTACTTCGCACAAAATTCCACCTCGCCCCTGCTCCGCAATCTTTGCATCGCGCCTCTCGGACTGTCGGTTGGTCCGGCGTACCCAGAGGCACCTGGCACACGCTTGCAGTTGAGTCATTTGAGGCCTTGGGGTGTGCTTGAAAATTGGGAATCTCCAAACAAATTCTGTGGGAGGCCTGATGGCATCCATCGCCGAGTCTGGAATACAAACCGTCGCAGAATTTGGGAAATAGCTCAGTCTTACCGTTTGCGTCCTTTGTTAAAGAGTAGTTTGCCCAATCCCCAGGGCGTCGTAGGAATCCCTGAAAAGTGTAATCAATGCTATTAGGATCCCGGCATTGACTGACAACTTTGAGATGCCCAACCCTAATCACAGATCTAATCCCTTCTTGACTACCTAGCCGGCCAAAACGCATGCTGCACCTCGGTGGCGAGGGAGGAGGAGGAGCCCACTGAACTTGGGCCTGAGAGCTTCAGGCTTCACTGTACATGTTTTGCTTGTTGATGCATTCTTGTTCCAGAGGGGGCCGCTTATTCTAAAACCTAAGACAAGAGGATCGTCATTCTGACCCACAAGCGAGATCAAGAACCTCCAGCAAAGCCGTCATTTGTAAACTCGTATGCTTCAATCAATGCCTAGATGTTCAACAATCAACAAAGATCTGTCTGAAAGTGCGTCGGGGGTTTGCCGGGTCTGTGATTAACTAGACTCGAATGTCTCGAATACCAGGCCACGCGACTCACGCAAGACTCATGTTTCCGGCGCATGGCAGGCATGATCCTGTCTACGCTAGTGCCGCCACATCTTCCCAGAAGAAAGGAGTGCTCCGGACTGGGCCCAGCATGTTACAAGGAACGCTTCCACAGACTTGCCTCAGCATTACTCTGACATGGATGGCCTTCAACTTGTGCAAAAAAACAAGACATGAAAGCACACAGGCTGCCGAGGCCCAGCCGAAGGTAAGGAGGGGGTCCATCAAGGACTGTACTTTTCATCTAGGCTGCCTTTTTGGCCGCTTCTAAGCTCTCTCTGACGAACCCGGGGTTCACCACTGCTTGGCTCTGAATCCCAAGTTTCGGCTACCATTCGTCTACTTCCAGGCCAACAATATTTCTTCATGCACGCCCAGCCCGTAAAGCTAACAACTTCAAACCCTAAACAAAACTGGCAAAGCAATAATCCATTCTGACAGCTTGGCATTGTCAACCTCTTGTCCAGACGCTCTTGACCGCCTGTCTCAGCTCACTCAATCACAGCCTTGGCCCCAGCTTCCTCAAGCTGCTTCACCTGAGACTGCCGCAGTACAAAACCCGACAGGCAGGATTGGAACTGACAATCGACAGCCTGAAAAGAATTCATCCTTCACTGGGAACCTGTCCAAAACCCCAAGCTCGAAACCCTGGCCCAGAGCCCTAGGGATTATATGGGGTTATCATGCCTTATACAGGGATTATACAGGGGTAGAATATTGGGGTCGTATTGGGATAATGGAAGATAAATGGAAACTACCATAATATACTTTGAGCCCTAAACCCCCAACCCGAGGCACAGCATCCTCGCAGAATTCCTTGGGCTTGCCCTCGATAAACTTGCCGGGGTTGTCAGCCAAGCCTTTGGCTTCCTGGAGAAGACAACACAGTTTCGAGTTTTCAATGGCATTCCAAAGCTTCATAGTTATAGTTGCAGAGGGGAAACTTCATGGACACGAAATGTTCGGGAAGAGAACGCTAATGCAGGGCCAATAGATGCCCTGGACCTAGTCACGGGCATGTCTTTGGGCTGAATATCCAGCCTTCAAGCCGAGGCCGGTGATTGCTCTCAGGGCCTTGATGATAGCAATCTTTTTCTCCTGGCAAACTTTTTGCGAAAAGCAGCAAGTTGTACCGCCTGTGAAGGCCCACCCAAGTTACAAGATGACGCGAGAGACAGTCCACACGACAAAACAAGCTGGGGTCCTTTGGCACTTCCTTGAGGACAACGTCAAACTCCGTCTTTTCAGGTGCCGCCTGCGCGCTCAACGCTCGCCGACTTGCCTTTTGAAGTCTGCGCAGTTTGGTAAGGCTGACGTCCCAGGGTGAGTCACGTTTTCGCACTAACCCCGCAGGCGCGACATTTTGGCCGGAAGGGCTTGAAGGGGCCATGCTGCAAATGAATACCTTCACCTGCTTCAAACCTAACACACCTCAATACCTCTGGCATTTGAGGCAATACGCGCGTCGCTGGATGAAAGGTGGCTCGCGCGGCATGGAGAGTTTCAGCTCGCCTCTGCAGCCTCACCGCCACCGGCAGCGCCAGGGGCAGCCATAACAACGGCCCCTGCCGAAGCAGACGCGTCCACGCCAAACGTCTCCTGAATTCAGACGGCTTTGACGGCTCAAAAGGCTCTTCTGCCAGATGCTTCCGCGGTGGGTCCTCGATGGCCTTCACTAGCTCAGATGCTTCTAGCAAGGTCAAGCCTTTGAGCTCTTCCACAATGTCATCCACCTCCAGGTGCAGACAACTTCGCCGCTTTTTGGAACAGCCTATTGCACGCAGCATTATGTAAACTGTCCAGTTATCCTCCAACTGTGAGAAATCAAGTTAGCTCCAACGGAAATTTAGGCATGAGGACCAATCATATCCTTAAGATCCCTAAGCTCCAAGGATTAGTGGCCCCCATCTCCATTCCTGCATGAATCCTCCTGCGTGTCAGGAGAGCTATGGATCAGGATTGCAATCCTAAGTCCTCAGCACACATCTCCCATAGTAGGGTCTTGTTCCAATCCTATCCGGTGTCAAAAGGACAAGATTCAAAGCCACGCTGCGCCTTTGACTGCCTGCTGATGGTTAGCTGCCGGCCAGCTTGCATGGCAGGGATTCCGCTCACAAAATCTGGGCCGGAGCTCACCTGCACCGAGACCCACTCAACAACCAAAGTGCGATCGCTTTACGGTGCAGGTGTACTGTTTTATCATTGAGGCTGCGACAATGATGTTATGAAAGGAGGTGTTGGGAGCCCGTGCTCCACAACCCCTGCCAGGCCTGCATGTACATCCCGCATGCCGCTACCGCCAGCAAAAGGGCCGCAAGAGAGCGGCGCTTCGAGTGGACGAAGGGAGCCATGGCAGCAAAGGAAAGGATGCCTCGAGCCTTGAGGGTCTGCAATGAATGCTAAGAACTTGCTCGCGCTGACTCTAATAACTCCATTCAACGCAGGCATCTTGAAAATGAAACATGTGACGCTCAACTGAAATTTAGCTAAGTTTTCCAAGTTTCCGGAGTTGGGTCACAACAACTCGCTTCAGCACCATGTTACTATCCATCATGCTGCAACACCAAACGAAATCAAGCTTGGCCAGCCGACTGGCAGTTCGAGGCGACGGCGAGTGGCTTGTGCCTGACTGATGCGCATTCAAAGCTGTGTATGGGAGAAAGTGTGGTTGCCACGGTCATGCCCATGGATCCATGTATGTGCGGCCTCCAGCGTCCTGGTGGCCTGCCAGTCTGCCAGCTTGGTTCGTGCCCTGTCAGGCGCATGCTGCTAATAACAGCTTCCAATTCCTAGTTGCTGCCGTTACTAGCCTGTGGCGCGACAAGGTCGAAAGCATCGCACTATAGCTGCAGCACCGTGGCATTACAAAGCTCGCGCACGCGCCCCGCCTCGCTGGGCACTGGGCTCTGCCTGCATGGCTTTGCCCAAGCTGCAAGTTGAAACTCAGCTTACTACGCGTTCGCCGTTGGTTTGCAATTTCCAGAACCCTTGCCGGCTCAGTCCTCAATCACATTGACATGTACCCCACAGCAGTTCATCCATTTTTACATGGCAACGACACATTGAACACCATGCCTGCGAGCAAGCTCCTGCAGCTCCTGATGTACAAACCCCAACCAATTGCTTCAATAGCCATTCTCATTGACAGTTTGCTGGTGAGGCAAGCTTGCAACACTGTGCAGGATGAACCTCAAAGCATCAAGCGAAATTCAACGGTTGCTAATGTACGGGTGGCTGACCCAACATGGGCAAGCTCAACATGAAGCGGGAACTCGTCGACAGATTGCAAAAAGAGTTCCCTTCTATTCGCTACTGACACACCAAACAAATGCAAATATGATCGGCTCCTCAAATCTGTGGTACGCATCCCGCAGGGACTCCGACGATTTCAGGTGCTCAAACTCCGACGGATGGAACCTGCCAATTCAAGCAAGGTTACTTTTTCATGTTCTTGTAGCGCGCTCCCTGACAGGAAGTGAAGCCTTTTGTAGCTTCATTGCGGGAACCCTCTCGTGCACAACTTGCACCACTTAATGGGCTGAGGCTCCAACGTGTATGTCAACAGAAATTCATCCTGGTCAAGCGATGCCACACACCAAGCTGATTTTTGCTTTATCCCCTAGAGGGAATGCTGTTCTCTTGCGCGCACGGTCTTTAGCTTGACACTTTCACACCCCGCCGCGGCAAGAAGCCGCAGAACAAAATAAACCAAAAATTGGTAAGGCCCTGGCTTCCCACATCTGTGCCAAGAAAAGGCTCTCCTCCACAGCCGCAGGGGCCCCGCCTAAGACTGAGACGCCACATAACGCTGCGCACAAATTTTGCATGTCAGCCAAGTCGCTGCCGGCATATTTCTGGCGGATTTGCCTGTCATCGTATTGGGTCATGCTCCAAGGGTTGGTATGAATCTGCATGGTCGACATGCGGCAATCCTTGCCTTTGGTGAGCATGTAGCGCAGTGAATGCTTGGAAGTCAAACACACGCGGGCCTGCATCGGGCACAAGGCTGCATGAAACTGGAATCCACAAGACGATGCGGCAGCTTGCATTGCTACATGACGCCATGCTCATGACCAGGAACCGCTGCCACCTTGAAAATTGGCATTGGTGGCCGGGTACAGGACCTCTGCAAAAACCACATGCAACAAATGTTGAAAAATATTACCTGGATCGGCCTTGTCCGGCATGCCCAGCAACCGCTGCAAAACACGCAGCAACAGCAAGACGACCTCCGGAAATCTGCACTTGCCCAATTGCCACATGCTTCTGAGCACTAACCTACCAAAACGGACATGCACAGCTCTAGGTGGCCTTTTTAATTGGCAAAACGTTGTCGCCATTGTCGCCTCGGACGCCCGGCACCAATGCCTGAACAACGTAGGGAGAATTCTGCAGGTTCTCCAATCCAAATGATTGAGTTAGCACATCCTACATGGGCGTAAATGATCACAAAAACTTCGTGCATGGACACAACGGATGGGAAAACTTGGGTTGTCTGAGGCGTTTTGCACATGCTTGTTGTTTGCAGCGGGTCAGGAAACCAAATACTCGGACCAGCCAAGATGTCTTTGGCCCAGCCTGAAACAACACCACGACGAGAGATGACTGGCCAGGACCTAGCTGCAACATGCGGTCTCCCTTCACACAGCAACCCTGGGCAGGACCCACGTCGCAAATTGTAGCCCTCGATTGGCGTGGGAACGGTTTGTGGGTTTCACTCCGTGTGGAAATGGCCACCACTTCACCACCCATCATGGAACAGATTTTTTGCACTCATGAGGCATTGATGACCTCGCACAGCAGCATTCGGGCACCATAAACCCGGTTCGTACGTGAGCAATTCGCGCATGTGCCGCCCGGCCGCGTGAGCGAGTGTCTTGGACGAGCCTCATGCGCCTGCGGCTTCCCCACTGCTGCAGCGCACGCAGCGACAGACATTGCCAAAACCCCCATGATTATGTAACCATGGATTGCACTGCGAACTACAGCATGCCACTTCATCGCAAAAAAAATTGCAGAGGTCACTGCTAGAAGCGACAACCATATGAGCGTTCGCCGAAACT